GATCCATCCAGCGTCACACTCCCACTCGCATCCACCTTCCCCTGCACCCACACGTCGCCCTGCAGCGCCACACCCCCGCTCGCGTGCACCGCGTCAGCGACCCGCACGCGGTTCCTCAGCACGACTTTCGAGGAGCTGGATACCTTGCCCTCGACACTGATATCGTCGGACAGGCTGACGGATGACGACGAGGAGATTTTCCCCGCGACGTGGATTTGCGTGTTGAGGGTTATGGAGGAGGAGGAGGAGACGGGGCCGAGGATTGAGAGGGGGCCGGTGAGGGATACTGCTGTGGAGGCTTTTATGGCGTTGGATTGTGGGGTTCTGGGGTGGGTGTTTGGAGGAGGGGATGGGGATCGGATGGAGGGGTCGATAGAGGGTGTATATGGGGGGTGGGGGTTCGGGAGCGGGGGGTGGTAGTGGTAGTGGTGGGTGGTGCTGCGGTTTTGGTGTCCTGGGGTATGAGCGTCATTTTTGCTGGCTGGTCTTGTCCTTATTTCTTAGATTAGATAGAAAAGTTATAATTGCTGTTTAAATGTTCATGAGACTTGACATGATATGAGATGGTTGTTGAACATCGGTACAAGTGAGTATTTATTCTTGAGCGACGTGCGATATGGCTCGTCTTGCTGACGCAAGCGATTCCAGCCCTATTATGGTTGCCTAATTGACCTATCAGTATTATCAGTCTTTCAAAGGACCTTTGATTGTATAGAATTGTAAAAAAATATTTATGTTACATAGATAACTAAGGTAGTACATCATTTCATATGAATTTCAAAATCTTGACTGGACTTGATGAAGGTTACTTATACCCTGAACACGTGATCATACCCCCCTTTTCTTCGCTTATAGCTTCAGGCATAACTCCTATAGTGTTTTACAGCCGTCTCTATGAAAAGGAAAAGCACCCAGTAGACTGGAAACAAGGGACATAGTGTATGATAGGTACTGTGGGAATTTAGAACTTAAAAGTCGATGAGAGTAAGTACCGCTTTTGTGTCCAGTATAGTGAAGCATGATGAAGAGCCTAGGGGCTTATAATTGATGATCCTTTTAGAAAGAAGGCCGTAACATACCATAGGAGATAAAAATTCTAAATGGGTTTTCGAACGGCTTTTTCAAGATTACTCCAGAGCTTATGATTGATACTAAGGTCAATCCGGGGGTTTATCGGGCGCCGGGAGCTGATCAGGATGGTTGTATTTTTATTCTTTGTAAGTCACATAGCTTTAGTGTAGTATCCATTGATCTCTCGGATACATGTGTATCAAGGCAAAGTATTCTAGGACTTCTCTGGTTTATTTTCTACTTTTACGAACTTTCCGCTCTAGTGACACCTCGTCCTCTATTTATTTGCACCATTTTATCCTCACCCACACTAACGATCCCAACATCCTTGTCCCAAGCAACGCCAAACACCTTGATACCCTCTCCTCCAACCGGTCTCTTCGCTCCTCCCTTCTGGCTCTCTCGTTCCACGACATAGACAGCTTCGCCGACCAATCCGCCACCTTCGTCCTTGGCCCCTTGCCTCGAGCTTCTCAAGTCCCATACGCGGCACGTGCCATCGTGACTACCTGAAACCAGTCCCCAATTACTCTCTGGATCAGGGGATAGCGAGACGATCTTGTTGGTGTGGCCACGAAGCGTCATTATTTGGGTAGAGGATGCGGACATTCGGGGATCGAGAAGCGTGATGTGGCGAGCGGTTGTTCCTGCTGCAAGTAACTGCGTGCTGATCCCAGGGAGAGCAGTAAGGGAGACTAGCGGATGGGATGTCGTCCGTGTATCGACGAGACCTGAAGTCGTAAGATCGAAAGTCTTGATGGTGTGGTCTTGGGATACAGAGTAGGCAACCGTCGAGTCTAGAGGATTGAAAATTGCTGCTGTGACTGGTGCTGTATGCGAAGAGATGAGAGAAAGTGGACCCCGCTGCGGGGTTGATGTTGAGGTTGCAATCTTTCTTCTCTTTGCGGTAGGTCCAGATGTAATCATATTCGATGGTGCAGCTGGAGCCGAGGACTTTTGCGTCGTCCAAAGACCAATGCTGCCGTCGGTTGATGCTGAGAGTATGCGATTTGAAGGGCCGTGGACATCGATCGAGTCTATGCCACCCTTGTGACCATATAATTCCATCACCGGTTTCAGCTCAGCAGAGAAATGATCCTCGGCCTCTGTATACTTCCATATGCGAATAGTTCGATCCAGTGCAGAGGATGCGATTTGTGTTGGGGAGATAAATTTCGCGGACTTGATACTCGACGTATGTCCCCCGGCGCTCGATGAGACCGATGTTGCAATCGCCTGTCCCGATTTATTCCAAATCCGCAATAGTCCATCATATGAACCGGACAATATGCGCTCTTGCCCAGCCAAAACCTCGCGCCCATCCCATGTTCCTGCTCTCGAGCTTCCTGACAGCACATCCACGCAGCTGATCCAGTCGTCATGCTCAAAGCTTGCTTCGTATAGCGGCGGTATCAAACTCCTTACATAATGCAAATTCACAGTAGTCTCAGAGGACAAGCCGTTCGTAGTCAGATACTCGTCGAGGGTTGTGCGAAGAAATGTGCCGTTAATTATGAAATCCAATGGAATGGGCGCCGGGGTATCGAGCATAGACTCAGAGTTGAGGATTTGAGACAAGCCATATCTTCGGACATCTGCCAGGGAATAGAGTTTAGCAAGTATGGAGAGCTTTTGCAGAGGTTTGCATACCGGTAGGTACAATTAACTGCCTCTTTTCTTCGGGAAGCTCGATATCTGGCGAATCTGTATTGAAATACACTTGGACTTGGCCCTGTCGGCTGGATTCTTCTGGTACACCTGCCATATCTGTAGATCTTTGCGCTGGAGAGAGTCGATATTGGAGATCTATGTGGTGTGTAATTTTGGTCAAAGTTGACCTTGGTTTGAAGATGAAAATATGCTGCGCGCAAAAATAAAATTTCCGGTGACCTATCTGAGCCAGCTGTGTAAAACACCACGCCTTCTTCTAGGGCGGGGCCAGCATTCCTTTCCACATTATACATGTTTAGCTAAGCAGCGCACTCCTGCTCCTTTATATGACCGGATTCCTAAGTGATGTCTGCTGTCCCATCAATAAGAAAACTTGCATTTTGATTTGGCCTTGATGCAATATAATATCACTTGGAAATGCACACTTGCTTATAGAGCCGCTACTAAGTTCCCTTCCCCAACGCAACACCATCTAATAGGAGGAGGAATAAGTTCTAGAATCTCAAGTAGGTCATTAAACGTGACTGCAAGAAGCATACAAAGAAAAGGCCGTCCTCGTATATCCAATACGTAGGCTTCAAATCTCAAAGCTATGCAGGACAGCATAAGTATATGAACTGAAATAAGAGCACAGCTGTCACATACGACCATAGACTGAGGAGAATTGGGCTATCTCAACCGTCTACTCTAGCATGAGCCTTGGATCAGAACTGTTGTTGGGATTCAAATATACCGGATTCGGGATATGCATTTGAATCCTATCCAGGTACGTTCAAAGTTTAGGTGTTGCTGCAGGTGTTCGTATTATGCTTAATTCTCGGTCAGCGGTATCTTCGCATTTTCATATTGTATTCGCCGAGACTATAATAAAAATTATGAATATCGTGAAGCTGGGAATTTGGAATCGGGAACTGGGTATAAGCGCGCGCGTCCTTGAAGCTAGATACGGGATTTCGGTGATCGCCAAGTTTTATATCTAGCGGTCTCTCTATTACACGTGATACAATAGCTCGAGAAGCTGTTATTGCAGAGCGTTGGGACTAGGCCTAATTTAGAAGGATAATACCAAGGCCAGAGCTTGGATACCGAGGAAACCTACAATACTGTACTTAGTATAGGATACCTCCAACTAAGAGGCCTGTCCTTGGTGAGAAATCTAGTAATATTCAAGGTAAAAAGGTTATGAGAAAGTCAAAAGCTTCGGAATTAAATATAGTAATATCCGTGACCTTCGCCTAGAACCACGCTAACTGACAGACCTGCTATCGGTTGAGGGGATACAAGGGCATCAAAAGCTCAGAGGCGCAAGACTATCTTCTTACCCGCCGGCATTACTACTTGTAGTCCCCTTTGTATCTCGCGAGTTACTCCTGAAAGGCCTAGCTTTGTGAAAGGTCACTCTATTTCCGCTCCTTAACTCCAGAATCTCCGGAGAGGAGCTACATTTCTCGGCTTGTGTATTTTCAATCGCACTCGTTTTTCTCTTGATACTACAAGTGGTTTGTTTCAGTCGACTTGATAATGATCGGGTTCCCTAGACTGCTATAAAGTCCAAGCGGCCTCTCAAATATCGCGATATCTCTTAGGCTTTGTTATAGACGTATTGCCACTGCAGCCGGCATCAAAGGAACTCTTTCGACAGTCCAGCTAGACGTCTCCGACGAGAAATCGATCGAAGAAGCCGCAGCGCATATATAGCAATAATTTGGACGACTGGATGCTCTGGTGAACAACACGGGAGTTGGCAGCATGGGCATTTCGGACATCAAGGCTCGATTCCAACACTTGACGCTGAGTAGTTCTAGGGTTTCGTACCTGAAATCATAAAAACATATAATGCAGTCCAAAATCAAATCCAGGTCTTATAACTATAAGTAGGTTCCCATCTGCTCGAGCGAGATCAAATTTGAGTATTCATACGCCTAAATATACAACTACAACTTTACAGCAGAGCTCACTCATTTGCTGCATATTCTCCATTTATCACTTTACAACCAACCTCAAACACCCTACCCAAATACATGACGCTCTTCCATTAGGCATTGGGAAGATTGGTCTCATTTCGTGCTTCCTAGATGGAGCCCCTGATCTGGCACCAGAGATACAGCAATCACAGAAGCAGAAATATGAAGAATGATTCTAAAAACGTTATTTATTGTTTAAAAAAAATTCTTGACTGCTTCTACAACTGCTACCATCCCACCAACCACACCGACCACGAAACCAAAATCCCCCAACCATCTACACGAAATTAGCTCTGGAGATTAGGAATTGACGTGTAACTTAACCCCCTCTCTAATGACCCAACCGGCCCGTGACCCCTTCCACCCTCTGCGGCTTCTCAATGATGATGCGCAAGACACTAATCGACAAGTTAACACATGCGTTATATCAGAAGAATATTGGGGATAGAAGTATGTGCGAGTCGAGAAAGGGTCTAAAGAAAGGCGAGCAGAGAGTAGATGTACATCTCTTCTGGATGGAGGGGTCTGGCCGGGCCGGTGAGGAGGAGAGGTGTAGTTATCGAGGGATTTATGGTGCCGTGGTTGGGTGGCTGTGGGGTCTCGAGGACGGCTCTATATGACCTATTAGCAAAATGCATAAACTATGGATAGAGAATGTTTTGGGAAGTGGGGTGACATACCGCACGCTGAATAGTGCCATAATGATAAGTATGTTTATATCGATCTGGGACAAGGTCAGCTAATGACTTTCTCGCGACCATATATCTTGGTTCTGGGAATGGGAATTCGTACATTGAAGATGGTAACGAATGTTGTAAAGCGAATGCATAAGAATATCAATCAAAATCTATACACAAATGTTGTCAGTATGTCGTTTTCTCGCAGATTGGACTATTGATAATAACTGACCAAGCGAGTGGTATGATTGATGTTGTTGAAGAAGAAGAAGAGAAGAAAATGGCGAGAAAGTGCCTTGTCATAGATGAACTTAAACAAACGGAAAGTGCTACTCTCGCATTATACTTCGACTCAGCTCTTTCCTTAGACCTCGACTTAAGCGGGCATGCAGGTTTTGAGGGAGTAGTACTTGCATGCAGCGTTCTATGTCAAGGATTAGACAATGGTAGAACGTAATAAATAAGGAGCAGGAGCGAAGATAAAATATCAAAGAAGCAATGTATAATATGAAATTCCAAGCCGCTGTATAAGATTCTAGTTATAAAAGTAATGCACGAGAGTAGGTTTATGAAGATTTAGCACTAGTCGTCGATGCTTTCCAAGAAGGCGGCACTAGTACTTGTGAAAGTAAACACTACTTATTGACTGCTGATTAGCATTATAGCAGCAGCTGTTGAGCGCGACTTCGCGTTCTAGGAAGGTAAATTTATACCACCTAGGGCCAAAAAGGAAGGCGCTCTTTCTTTCTCTTCAGAAATACTAAAATGAAAAGTGACCCTGCCCGGGCGCACGTGTCGTAACACATATGACCGGTGAAATAAGTCACGTGCACCATATCATAATAATATTTTTTGGACTTTTTAATTCACTACGCAAGCAAGCTAAATACAAGCAATTATATTAAGCGATTTGATAGTCGCGAGCAGACGTTTAAACTTTTGGGACACGATGGCTCACTTTGTACACAATGCTACGAAACCACATATAAGGAGCGTTTGACATCGCCGATGAGGGCGAGATTGAAAGCATATTAATATACGTTGAAGTTTTCGAGTGACATCGCACACACGCGACGAATGTGGTCGCGACCGCGAGCTGTTCTAATACGAACGCTGAATTTCGGGCTTTATCTGAGCCTTTCTCGCTATGCCAGTGTATTCGCTGGCGACGAAACATAATACAAAAAAGAAAATTCCATCCACCGCTAGCCTACACGCCTATTCTGCTTCAGCATGGATCAGATGGCCTCCGTCAGACCATTCAGACCCTGTTACAAGCCCAATGTGCGCCGATCCCTCGGATGGGCAACATATCCATCGCCAGGTTGGTGCGTTTGCCGTCTGCCCGAGGGCTGTTGGCGGCCTGCCTTACGACTTGTTTTATTCTTGGGTCGGAGTGACTTCTCTTACATTTGACGCCTTTTGCTCGGAGCTGGGTTCGTGTTCAACCTTCTTACCATATGTTGAATAGGCCTCCTGAGTGCGGTTCTGGAATGCGAAGCCTGCAACTGTCAGTACGAACGAGAACTTTCCTACATGGGACAGAACCGTACCTGGTTGAGCAATGTTTAAGGCGAACACTGCCAGGGTCACCATTACCGACTCCAGCCCAATAAACAGACCCTCCTCGCGGAAGATTGACCCACTGTATCCTTGACCGAGCTCGGCAATTCGGTAGCAGCAACGGATGAGGATAAAGAGAATAGATGCCGAGAAGAAAACGCCAAAGATCTCGAGGCGCGTCGAGAGGATCTGGCGTTGATCCACTTGCTGAGACTTACGGTACGAGATGTAGCGGAAGAGGTAGTCTAACGCCATAGCGATGAAGACAGTAAGAGTGAAGACCTGGAACGCCAGACCTGCAAGCGTGATGTACTCGCCCGATTTGTCACTTCCCACCGAACTTGATGATAACGCGCCGCCCACGGCCTGCAAGATCAAACTAACGATATCGCAAGGCACAAACGCCCACACGTATATCTTGACCGGAAACCTGCAAGCTTCGGGGCCCAAAAAATTCGTGACCCTGACGAGCGAGACGTAGATCGCGGCGGCAAAGAAGACGGGCGAGATTGTAATGCAGCAGATCTCGATGATGAAGCCGTCAAAGGAGAAGGGGTTCTGGTACAGCAAAATGCGCCCGCCGTAACCGATCATCTCGCCGATGCTGCCGAGCGCCATCATGCTGGCGAAGAACCAGGTGCGGTAGCGGATGCCCTGGGCCAGGTGAATGAACATGGAGACGCCGAAGAGGGCGATGAAGGCGATTTGCACACCGAGGGCGGGCCGGTAGCCCTGTAGGGAGGCTTCGACGGGGCATAGGGCGAGGGTGCAGTTGGCGTCGGGGCCGAAGGAGACGAGGTACTGGGAGGGATCATTTTGGCCAGCTGCTTCGGGGGACGACATTGTGGTAAGGGGCGGTGGAAGATGCGTTGAGTCGAGGGCAGAATGGACGAGACTCAAAAAATCGAAGTGCCGGAGTGACAGAGGTGGCAGAGCTGCCAAAGAGAGGCGGAGAAGGAAGGCAAACTGGGTTGATTTCGTGGTAAAGCAAAGTCGTAACGGGCCAGAAGTAAATACATTAATGAAGAGTGAGTGGATGCCAGAGTGTTGTGAGCTGAGATGAAAAACCAGACTATGGTTCAAGGGGAGGATGCGAGTGTCTACACAAGTGTATTTACCTGATCTGATACATTCCTTCGATCAATGCACGCAAAACCAACCGAGAGCCAGACTGACCAGTCTCAGCGGTGCGAAAGCTGATGCCTGTCGCACGACACGTCGACCTTAGGAAGGAGACTCAAGCATTTCCGAGTCCTTTCTCTGCAGCCCCCTTGGCAGGCATTGCGTGTCGCGGCGATCGATAAGTGTTATTGGTCGAAAAACCGCCGATGCTGCAGCACAATCGCAGGAGGCTGAGGCTGACAGTGCTGACCCCTGGGTGCCACTATTTTCACGACTCTCGGCCGTTTCGCTGTGGAGGCGTGGTAATTATAGTATAGCTAGAAGGTAAGGATTGTCTACTTAAGCTAGAAGATGATATAGTATAAATAGAGCCTAAGGCAGATAATGAAAAAGCTACTTTAAATGACTTCAACTTTGAGCTCTTCTTTGAGGAAATATCTCTAGTAATACTTCTAGATATGCCTATAGAACCTGTATTTAGAGGTCTATTTAGAGTACTACCCAGATATAATAAGAGATTTAGATATTTTTAGTTGAATATATTTCTCTGATATTTATAATAAGGTGCCTATAGGTATTACAGGGGTGATCACTTAATACTACCTAGTAAGACTTAATCTAGGGTTTAGGCTATAATTATATATTAGAGAAGGAAGGTATTCTAAAGTGGAATTTTGCGTAAATGTTGATTCTGTCCAGGAAGGGGCCGACAGACATGAGCTCAAGGCGGGTGGGTGTCCAGAAGTCGATGCGCAAGTAGTTCCGTAATTAGATACTGCAGGCAATACTTCAAGATCAGCCTCTGGCTTATGCACGCAGGTCAATATGTAAGCACCTTCAGAGCCCTTGCCGTAGGTAGTAGTTAGGCAGATTACTTTGAGGATACTTCCATAGGTAAGTAGGTAGGCAGGCAATGACTTGCGGATGCCCGCCTGGAGCTTCCGGTGGGCGCAATTTCGCTGAACATATCCGTAGAAACTATGCGACTCATAAGAACATGTTTTGCCGTCAAGGCAGCATACACGCTCCGGAAATGCGTATGTCTGATGCAATTTTCGAACGCATGACGATAGGTCTCTTTTGCCGTTGTGGTAGTATTTTTGCACGAGGATAAATTCACTAGACAAAGAATCATGGCCCTTTGAAGAATACGTTAGGTAATATTGGTTATTGTTTACGCGGAGATAATGGGATTCTCTTCAATCAGATGAAGGCTATTGTACAGTGACGCTGGACCTGATAATGAGGTCGATAAATTTGATTGCTTGCGATATTTCCGAGCAATGTCCTTTGGCAATTTGTTTCCTATTCCAACTTCAATATAGTACAAATCATGCGCATCCTTATCGAATGCCAAAAAGCAGAAGATGCGTCACCAGCGTTGGTGAGATATCGCACTGCTCCAAGTTGTGGAGTGTCTTCAAGTCATCTCAGCGAATTCTGGCTCAGTGACCTGCGGCTTTTCATGCACCAATCGATTTGCCTCTTCCACTCCCAAACCCGTCTTGTGTTCAACATGCTCATCAGAAAGTTCCTCGCTTCCAATGAGGAAAGATGCAATGAGTCCAATTCCGGAAAGAACGACGAAGAAGATCCACATATCGGCAAGACTGTCCTTTACAGCCAACCTGAAAATGTTCTGCTGGGCCGGAGTGAGCTGTGAAACGAGTTCCACAGATCCAGCTGCGCCATTCTGTACAATTGCTTCCGCCATCGCAGGGCTGACTCCAGAAGCAATGATACTACCGCTTTGTGCCGAGAGTCGATTCTCAAGAATGACGCCGCCAAGGACGATGCTGAAGGCGGCGCTGAGTGCGCGGATTGCACTTGCCGCGGAGACGGCGACGCCCGCGTCGGCGGGTAGAAACCTTGCTTGCAGGGCAATGGTCGGTGCCTGAAAGTTGGGACCCAGGCCGACCGCGATAATCAGTTGATAGATGATGATCTTTGGCCAATTGATTTCTGCACCGAAATCGATCAACAGACCGGTGCCCAGAGTGGAGATAGCCATGCCTGCAATGATCATGTATAAGTACTTTCCCGTCTTCCGCATATAAAGACCTGTCCCGATGGTGAAGAGAGCCAGGGGAATGGCGAGAGGAAGGGACCAGACCGCTGAGTTAATTGGTGTTGCTCCAAGAACTACCTGGAAGTAGAATGGGACAAAATAGGCCGTGCCGTACAAAAGGAATCCGTGCGTGAGATCCACCACGAATAGGGCGATAATAGGGAGAGTCGTGAACACTCGTAGAGGGAGTACCGGATAACGAGCCAGCTTCCACTCGATGCCAACAAAGATACCACAAACCAACACGCCGAAAATTATCAAACACACGACAATGGCAGAGCTCCAAGGATAAACCCCACCGCCATACTGGAGGCCCAGGAGAAGCATAAGGACCGAACCTGTGATAGCAATCGATCCCAGCCAATCAACAGCCATTAAACCTTTGATAATTTCGGTACGGGGATCGTGAACCTGGAGGAAAAAGACAAGGAGGGCAAAAGCGATTCCCTGGAACGGTAGGTTGATATAGAAGCACCATCTCCAGCCGATATTTTCAGCAAGTGCTCCTCCGATGAGAGGACCGGAAGATATTGCGATGGCATATACCCCACCGAGAATGCCAAAATATAGTCCGCGCTGTCTGGGAAGTGGGTCAGCGCATTCTAGAGAGCAGTCTTTGGAGGCATATAGTACTTCAAAGCTGGAATTCCCAATGTCACTTACCTTGGACTGACGAGATCTCCTATTAGAATCGTCACGATGAGCAGCACGCCGCCGGCTCCAGCACCTTGAATGGCACGCCCAGCAATAAGCATGGCAATGCTATTTGCCACGGCACAAATCAAGCTTCCAATGAAAAAGACGAAAGTTGCCAGTAACACAATTGGCTTGCGTCCAAAAATGTCGCTCACCTTGCCCCAAAGCGGAGCCAAAGCGGACTGGGTTACGAGGTAAGACGAACCAACCCATGAGTAGCTGATTTGAGAAGCCTTGAAGTACCGAGCAATTGTCGGCAAGGCTGTTGTGACGAAGGAGATGTCAAGAATAGCAAGGAACGACGCGACGCAGAGTGCAATCATGATCGGGATCATGTTTCTGCGTGGCGTGTAGTCCCCGCCATCATCTTGTGATTGAATTTCCGCATTTTCAGACCGAGTCTCAGGAGTTTCTGGTTGTTGCATCGTCCTCTCATGTTCTGAGTTGCTCGACACAGCTGGAGCCATGTCAAAGCGCCGCAATAGAGTTTGGGGCAATAACGGGAAGGAGAATAGAAGATTATCACGTGATTCGCGTGACAGCAGCAAAGCGACACTTTTCTGATGTTTGACAGAGTTCGAAAGGTACTGCGAGAGAAAATTTGATCAGGATATGCAGCTGGAGATAAATTTTCATTCCAGTTTATGCTGTCTACGGAAAGTGATCTCGCGCTATGGGTTTCATTTGGTCTCTCTGACGTTCGGCGCTTTTCAGCCATTCAGATAAGGAGCTCCGCTGACGATGACCGGCGACTTCGAGCATCAGCTGCATGCAACAGCAGCGCCACCAACAGCAGTGCCACTTCCTAACAACGATGTGACCTAAGGCTTACTTCGTCGCAGGCCAAATATTTATGCCAAGAAATCTAGGGCGGGGGGGGGTAAGAAAAGTTATAAACGTACTAAAGCAAGGCCCCCTTGATAAGATGCGAGAGAAGCTTCCGGCCAAAGAACACGGGGACAACTTCAGTCCCAACAGTCCCAAGAATAGCGAAGCCAGTGTTCTGCGTCCAATCGTACGCAATGTCTTCTGTCACCTCCACCTTTGCAGTTCCACGGCGCCAGGATGCCTTGGTGGTTGCCGGCCCGGGCAAGCTTTCTCTGCACCAAGATGCACCTCTGCCTCACTTGGCCCCTGATATGGCCCTTGTTCGCACTGTTGCTGTCGCTATTAATCCCGTCGACGCCAAGATGCTCGATTACAGTCCAGCAGTTGGGGCTGTTCATGGATACGACTTCGCCGGGGTCGTTGTCGCACTCGGCTCAGACGGCCCGCGTCATGTCTCGATCGGAGACAGGGTTGCTGGGGCCGTTCATGGTAACAACTCGCTGGAGCCAGGTGTCGGTGCCTTTGCACAATATGTTGGAGCGACGGCTGAGCTACTCCTCAAGATTCCTGACATGATGACTTTCGAGGAGGCATCAACTCTCGGCATCGGCTTGGCTACCGCGGGTCTTGCCTTGTTCCGCGAATTAGAGATCCCAGTGAGTCTCGAGGATCTGATCGACAGGGCCCAGGATTCGGATGTCATACCGAACGCGGCGTTTGTCCTTGTATCTGGAGGCAGCACCGCTACTGGCACCAGGGCCATTCAAATTCTCAAGCTGTAGGTAAGCTCTCTAGGGTTAGGGTTTCGTCTGACTGAAAAGGGTTCGCTGATGACAGGACTCTCTCTGTAGGGCAGGATTACGGCCCATTGCAACTTGCTCGCCGTCGAATTTCGCCCTGGTCCTCGGCTTTGGAGCCGAAAAGGCGTTTGATTACCGCCGTCCGGACTGCGCTAAAGAGATCCGTGGTTACACACGCAACGGCCTGGCGTACGCGCTCGACTGCGTGGCTGAGTCAGACAGCGCCCAGCTTTGCTATGGCGCAATTGGTAGGGCTGGCGGGCGGTATTGCGGGGTAGAGCCCGTGCGCCAAGCTGTGGCGGCTGGGCGACCGACAGTCCGCGCTTCGTGGCTGATGGTCCTGACCATGTTCGGCGGTCGAGTCGCTTTGGATGGTGAGTACGGGCGCGAAGCATCTGCTGCAGATCGGGCACTGAGCGCTAAGATCTTTGCGGCTACACAAACATTGCTGGACAACGGTCAGATCAAATCTCACCCAGTCAGAGTCCTGGCCGACAGATGGGCCGGTGTCATCCAGGGTGTGGACATAATTCGTACTGGGGCGGTATCAGGACAGAAGCTTGTTGTCCGCGTCGACTGATAGACAGAATTCCCGCGTTGTCCCGTAACACGCTATGGAGCCACGTGATTGCCAAGGCTTGGTGCGACGCTAAGGAGTGAAATTATATAAAGGGGCTTCCACCTCTCTCACTTAGCTCGTTAGCTCGCTAGACGTTATAATATCATCCATTCTAGTGTCCACTTCACCCTGCTTATCATTTCCTTACAATATGTCAGTAATTTCGTATATGATACGTGACGGTTGGGTGCCTCATGCATCCTCTACTGTATTTAGACCGTAGCCCTCCTACAATACAACTTCATCCTTCTTCCGCACAACCTCCACGCATCAGTATACCGCGAGCCGCCGTACTGCCAAGCTCGCTGTGCCATATCATAGCATGTGTTTTATACGACGTTTGGATTCAACGACTGAATCTGGTGTGAAATTCCGAGCTGTCAATATTAATCCTTCTACGGGGCCGAGATCCTTATAAAATCATTTCTTACTGTATCCAACTTACAGGCCGTCATCTACAACGCGGCTGGCAGCTACTCTTGCCAGCCTGTTCGCAAATCACGTCAGATCCTTCGACTTATCAACACCTGGATTTAGACAAAATCTATGCCACCAACATCCATTGAATGCTGCACCCCTCGTGGAATTGAACTGCGACCCTGCGTTGCTACATCCATCGGCTGATTATGTATACGATAGTAGATAAATTACCATTCACATACCGACTATTCTGTCATGTGGCTCCGCTCATGACACCTAGTCTTGTACCACGAAATGGAAAGCAGTTCAACCAGACCGACCCCGGCCAAACGAGCCTCATGCGATCGCTGTCGTTTTCAGAAAATCAGATGCTCTCGACCGGATTCGGACGATTTGAGCAGCTGTGCCAGATGCCGATATCTGGGGATACAATGTGTCTATAGCGCGCCATTGCCAAAGGGACGGCCAAGCGGAAGCAGGAAGTCGACCAGCAAGAGCTATACAACGCCGAAGGAGGTACCTCTTCTGCCTCAGCCCTCGCAAGCTAGCCCGGAACCAATAGACAACCAGGAAACGATAGACGAGCTCCGATCAGCACTGGAGTCTCAAGATTTTAGCTATCAGGCGGGGACCTGGTTTCAGTCGGATCCATGGTCCTTGGTAGGCACTGCGGCTGACAGGGGATCATTCGCTGATCCTTCCATGGAAACATACGCCTCAAGCGCCTCATCTGCTGAGCTATCCCACGATGACATTTTCACAAATTCGATGCAGCAGCTGGCAACGCTAAGTTGCAGCCTCTATACGCTTCACACCACGTGTCGCAACGAGCAAGCCAGCCTGGAGCTCCAGCCCCAGCTCGTCTCTCATACTAACGCCTTCAATTCCTTGGCGACTTTACTGGGAGCCCTACCGAGCCTTGACGGATACGAGATATACACGGAAGCCTGTCTCGCATCAAAGAGCTTGCTCCTGGTCATGTATCGGCTTCGGCTTTTCGAGTCTCCAAATGATGAGGTTTTACCGGCTGCCCTGCGGCATCTTCTCTCTGCGTGTTATGTCCAACTCCTCCACGTGCATACCATTCTTGTCAGCCTTATGTTACATGAGGCGTCAAACTCACCGGATTTTCATCAAGGCGACCCCTTCTCCTTCGCCCGACTTCGCCTGGTGGTCATCTACAACCTTGTCAAGCATCTGCTGGAACATGTGCGGCGCGGCTATGGTGCCTATGGTCTGACAATAGCACGGTCGGGCTCTGAGGCAACTTCCTATACAGAATCTTACGAAATCAGTCAGCTTGAACATAGGCTATGGAACGACCTCCAGGAGTTGGAAATCTGTCTTTCTCCAAGATTACAGGCGCCTTCGGTTCATTGATCTGCTGAGTAGCTTGTAATGACTTTCTTGCCGCTTCGGATGTTTAATAGCCAATGGAAAATGAAGGAGCCGCTTTTCTAAAAATAGTATCTTGCTCCTTGATATCGCTCCATGAAATTTGTATACACTTAAGAAGAAGGACGTGGTAGTTACTTGGGTCCTCGCATTGTTTCCAATATCGTCGAACTTGTCATTCTCTGTATTTGACTTTTATCATTCATCTTTGTACAATATGCATTATCAACAATCTGAGCCCATCGCTATTGTCGGCAGCGGTTGCCGTTTCCCCGGTGCTGCCAATTCTCCTGCTGCTCTCTGGCAGCTGCTGGAAAGTGCACGTGATATCTTGACGGAGATACCTAAAGAACGTTTTGATGTGCGAGGCTGGTACCACAAAGACGGGGATCACCATGGCACGTCCAATGTTCTACACTCCTACACCCTGGAAGAGAATCTTACCAAGTTTGATGCCAACTTCTTTGGCATTAGTGCAGGTGAGGCTGAGTCTATTGATCCTCAGCAGCGCCTCTTGCTGGAAACTGTCTACGAGGCCCTTGAAGTTGGTGGCCACACCATCCAGTCTTTACGTGGCTCTGACACTGCCGTCTATGTTGGTGTTATGGGAGGGGACCATGAAACAAGCCTTCTTAGAGATGCCAACAGTCTACCAACATACTTTGCGACTGGCACATCGCGCGCCATTCTTTCAAACCGAATCTCTTACTTTTTCGACTGGCGTGGACCCTCTATGACTATCGACACAGCATGCTCTTCGAGTATGATCGCTGTGCATAATGCTGTTCAAGCACTACGGTCTAACGACTCGAGAGTTGCTATTGCATGTGGCAGTACTTTGCTTCTAGGCCCTGGTAAGCTAATTCTGTACACCGAGTGATCAAGCTAACGGATTCTAGAAATGTATGTGGCCGAGAGTAATATGCACATGCTGTCGCCCACAGGCAGATCCCGCATGTGGGATGCTGATGCTGACGGCTATGCTCGCGGCGACGGTATCGCGACCGTTGTTCTTAAGAAGCTTAGCGACGCTATTGCTGATGGCGACCACGTCGAATGTATCATCCGTGAGACTGGCATCAACCAAGATGGCCGCACACAGGGAATCACTGTACCAAGCTCGGAGGCGCAAGCTGCACTTATCCGCCGCACCTATGCTCGAGCTGGTCTTGACCTTACAAATCCCGCCGACAGACCCCAGTTTTTTGAGGCACATGGTACTGGTACCAAGGTAGGAGACCCTAAGGAAGCAGCCGCAATCCACTCCACCTTTGGAGGGCTTAACAGTGATCCTTTGTATGTTGGGTCGATTAAGACCGTCATTGGTCACACGGAGGGTGCTGCTGGAATAGCCAGTCTACTCAAAGCGTCGCTATCCCTTCAAGCTGGCGTTATTCCCCCGAAT